TTGATATTTATTGACTTTATTGCATAATCCAAACCATACTATTTTAAAATGACAAATAAAATAGTATTTAATATCTCATACCATTTCACAGCCAGTATCATTCCAGAACAGAGATTCCAGATAGGTTTTGTCTCATTCATGGCCTTAGAAGCAGTGTCTGCAGAATGTGGAGGTAAAGCATCATGACACACATGACACTTATTTTAAATTGTTTCTCTCTTTCTGCCAGAAGTATCCATTTGCCAAGTTTTGTGGATTCCACCTTTTAAATAGGTTTTGAATCTGTCCCTTATTTTTCTTCCCTGTTTCATAATTTCTTATCTGGAATTTCATATATTTCCTACTAATTCTTCTTTCAGTCACATACTTGACCAAAGCTCTGAAAAGTGATGTTTGTATTCTTTATAGATTTGATGATATTGCTCTTTTATTTTTTCTTTGGTACTGGGGATTGAACTCACAACCTCATTTTTACCAGGCAAGTACTTTGAGCTAAAGTACTGCTGAGCTAAATCCCTTCCTCTGTTGCTCTTTTTTTTTTTTTTTTTTTTTTTTTTGTCTTTTTCCTTTTCTATCAGTACTGGGGATCGAACTCACGACTGCCTGCTTGCAAGGCAGGCACTTAAGCCACTGAGCTAAATCCCCAGCCCCCCTCTGTTGCTCTTTTAAGACCCTGTCTTCTCATAATAAATCATAGTGTGACATTCAGATTTAGCCTTTGTTTAGCCTTCAGTGTCATCACTCTTCCTTCTTCCTACCTTTTCTAATCTGTGCTTCTGTGAACTACTATTTTCAGGTCACTAAAAGATTCATTTTGTTTTTGTTCTTTTTGTACTTGTAATCAAACTCGACCTTGGGTTTGCCAGCCAGGCACTGTGCTGCTGAGCTGTATCACCAGAACTGATTTTGTTTTTTGAGACAGGGTCTCATTATGTAGTTTAGACTGGTTTTGAACTCAGTATGTGGCCCCAGCTGGCCCTGAACTTGTGGCAATCCTCCTGCCTCAGCCTTCTGAGTGCTGAGATTAGAGGCATGCACCTCCACTCCTGGCTTCAGATATATATATATATATTTTTTTTTTTTAATTTAAGGAGAAAAGAAAAAAAAAGTGAAAGGGTACAAGTTATACAGATTTACAGAAGAAAAAAATGAACAGTAGGAAATCACTAGTTAATGGATTACATATTGCCATCTTAAAAATAATTGTTCAAGTCACAAAATTAAAGCTTGTAGAGTGGACATTCCAACAATGATACTGCAAACAGTTCTGTTCAATGATCCAATAAAACTCTGTGATATCATTTTCTATCTTATACACTTAAATATACATGCAGTTATATAGTTTAGAGCACTTTTTTTTCCTCTCTTTTGTACAATGACTATTACACATTTTGGGTTTCATTGCTCCCACGATTCTTATTGCTTTTTTGGAAGAGAGTAAAACCACATGAGACATAACAGGACAGAATCGGTCAAGGCAAAAGGGTGGACATAATAGATAATATAAAAACATAATACAAGGTGATCATCAATGGTTACCATAATGCCTCCCGCTATCTCTAATAGAATTGTCTATATCATTAGTTATAATACAATTGAACAAAATAGTAAAAAATAAAACCGACAAAACCAACACATTGGAGACATTGTAGGTCTTCAAAAGAAGATAAAAGTCAACGAGAATGGGCGTTATAATGAATCTCATTATCTTCTCAGCTGATGCCTAAACTTTCGAACCTGATACTATCCATCAAAACAGAATAGGGGAACATCAGTCAAAAACAAGATGGTGAGAGTAATACAGGGCTTCAAATCGAGATAATAGAAAGTTAAAGTGGGTTACTATATTATATCCTGCTATTTTTTTCCCTTTAATTAAACGGATAAAAATAAAAAAGTAAATAATGGAGTGGAGATTGAGAAAAAAGAGGGCATAGCAGCAAAACAGCGCAGATCAAAACATAACCATTTAAGCAGAATAGTGTTTCACCACCAGATAAATTGACAAAACTGTGGAGGTTCAAAGAAACCTAACTCTGTATTAGCCCTACCAGTAACAGTTCTAGACGCACTGCTTCAGTGTCTGCAGCGACTTTATGGAATGTTCATGGGTTCAGAGAATTAACTGATTTCTGCTGAAAGGCTTCCTGGTTTTCTGCCCCAGCTGGACTGATTGAGGAGAACTTCTGATAGAGGGTTCCACCCAGCACCACGGCACAGCAAGAGACTGTCCTGAGGGGCGCCAGACCTACAAAGAACTTTGAGGACCTTCAGGACAGAGGACAGGGAGTTTCTTGCAGAAGCTGTTGGTGAAAGCCAGTGAGTTCTGAGAGGAACCCAACTTATTCTGTCCTAACCAACATAGCCATTAGATATATCCAGACTAAGACAATGCTGATTAGCTACACACAGGGATTGCTTGAAAAACAAACAGAAAACATTTGGGTATTTAGGTAGCACATGCATATGAATGCATGTATTTCTCTTTATGGATTTGGAAATGTGGGAAAATAGAAATTATCTCAAAATATTTTGTAAACTTTGAATAAAAGTATCTGAGTTATATAATGTCATGTAAAGATTAAGTATGACTAATAGAACAACTTAATTATAATGCAGCAAATCTGATTTATTTTGAAATATATATGTAAAACTTGAGCTTTCTGAAGTTAAATTTGTTTTAACAAAATTCCATTAATTGGAAATACGTCCTTTTGTTTCTGTCCTTTTTGCTTCTATGGGACTAATTTGTATCCTTAAATATAGAAAATTTAGCCTCATCACCTGCTCTTGTCTTCATTAGCCGTGTATGCCACACCTATAACTGGAATGTTTCCAAAATTAGCTGGGTTTTCTGGAAATAAAATGCTCTTTAAAAAATTATTGATAAGCAGGGCGTGGTGGCTCATGCCTGTAATCCCAGCACTCGGGAGGCTGAGGTGGGAGGATCCTTGTGAGTTCAAGACCAGCCTGGGCTACAAAGTGAGCTCAAGGCCAGCCTGAACTGTATAGTGAGACCCCATCTGAAAAAAGACAAAAAAAATTATGATAATTATAAAAGATATTCTGCAGATTAAGGGAAAAACAAATGTTTTAAACAAAAAAGAAATCCCTTTCTTTACCTCCTTAAAGCAAGCCTGCAATAAAGTCTAAGTATACTCTCAACTTCACAAAGTCACCTCAGCAATGAATCACATGGGTTACGTAGTTAAAATAGCAGGCTATTTTAAGAAATAAGTAAAAATTCTTTACTGAGACTTCACTAAATAATTCAAGCTTCGTTCTGTATAATAATGGATTTGTTATAACTACCAGAAAGCCTCATGTGTCCTCGGCCACTGCACAGTTGTTCAGGCAGGGAAGGGGAAGGGACAGAGATGGCATCAATTGCTTTGGAAACAGTAAAAAGAAGAAAAAAAGACACAGTACTGGTAAGGCTACCGCATGAACGAATCTTCAACAGCCTTTGGGTACATCATTCACTCGGTGATTCCACAGAAGATTACATGTTACACCATTCCATTTATGTGAAATGCCCAGACTAACCAAAGCTGTAGAGAAAGGAAGTAGACTAGTGGATGCCAGGGTTGCCGGGCACTAACTGGGCGGAGTAAGACTGCTCAGCTGTGTGCCATGTGGTTTGGCAGGGAAAGTTCCCTGTTAGATGGTGGTGGTACATTAACAAGTGCTGAATTATTTTTAAATGAATTTTATATAATATGAATTCTACGTAAAGAATATTGAAAGCAATAGGCACAGGATGATCATAATTAAAAAAGAAAAGCCAGACAATAACAAGTGTTGGTGAGGACGCAGAGAAATAGAACACTCATTCCCTTCTGCTGGTAAGATGTCAAACGATGAGAAAACAGTTTGGCAGTTCCAAAAAAGAAAAAAAAAATTAAATACAGTATTACCATTGACACAGCAATTCCACTCCTGAGTCCTCATGCAAGAGAGATGAAAATATGCACAAAGAAACCCGTAAGCGTTTACAGTAGCATTGTTTGTGATAGCCAAAAGTTGAAGAAAATCCAAATGTCCACTAAGTGACGAATAAACAAAGTATTATACGATGGCATATCATGCAGCAGTGCTGATCTGTGCTATCACTAGTGCACCTTGAAAACAGCTGAAGTGAAGGCCGCTAGTCACAAACAGCCATGCGCCGCGCGCTTCCTTTTACGCGGAATACAGCAGTCCACGCTGGGGACAGCAGATTCACAGTGCAGCAGTTGCCCAGGCTGGGGTGGGGAGGCCGGGGCAGAGGGGTGATGGGCAGGGCGGTTTCCGGGGAGACCGTGTAAAAGTCCTAACGCTGTGCGGGCTGCTGTTCTGTGAATGCACTAAATCCCTGCATAATACCCTTTATTTTTGTTTTTTGAGGGGTTGTAGGGGTTCGTATGTAGTTAGACAGGCCCCGTCTCGCGATGATCCTTCTGCCTCAGCTTCCTAAATGCTGGATTATAGGGGTGCCCCACCACCCCTCGGCTTAACAGGGCACTTTAAGGATGCGAATCGTACGGTATGTGAATTATCTCAGTCTTTGCCGGGGTTGGGGGAGACGGCTCTTCAAAGTTCCTAAAAGCCACTAGCGGCTGCCCTCCCCATGCCCTACACTCCTAGTGGGGTGACTCTAGGAGTTCCGGACCACAGCTGGGAAAGGTCCGGAACAGGGCAGGTCCAGGTTCTCCCCCAGCAGAAGGCGCTGAGACCGCAGCCACCCCGTCCCGGAGGAGCCCCGAGGGCTGTGTGAGACCCGGGGTGCTGGGGTGTGAGCGGGGCGCCCGGCCTCTGCCTTCCGGGGCGCGGGCAGCCTGCAGGGCGCTCGCAGGCGGGGCGGGGCGGGGCAGAGGCGCCCGACCGGCTTCCCGGCCCGCCCACGGGGCGCAGCGGGCGTGCCGGCGCCGGCGACCTGGGGAGACCGCCCGGCCCGCCCACCGCCCGGCCGGCCCGCCCACCGCCCGCCCCGCCCCGCCCACCGCCCGCCCCGCCCCGCCCCGCCGCAGCGCCCCCGCGCGGCCCGGCCCGGCCCGTCCCCGAGTTTCGCGCCCCGATGGCCGCTGTGCCGGAGCCCGAGCCCGGGGCTGCCGAGGGCGCGGCGGCGCCAGCGGTGGAGACGCCGGGCTGGGAGGCCCCGGAGCACGCGGGAGCGCAGGTAGGCGCTCGGTGGTCGGGCCGCTGGGCGCGAAGCCCGGGTGTCCGCGGAGCTGGGTTAAAAGGTCCAGCCCCAGGCTCCGAGCCTGAGCAAACGGGGTTCTTCGGGTGGAGGGGAGGCTGCACCCCGGGAGTGAGCAGCATCTCCGTTTCTGGTCTCTGCGGGGCGACCCCGCGACGGCAGCCCGAGCTGGGACGTCGCGAATGTTTGTTTCTTTTAACCGCGAACCGAGACCCAAAGTGTTTGAGGCAGGGGTGTCGGCGTCCCTGATTCCCTAAGGGAACCTCGGGGACAGGCCTCGCCCTGCCCTGAGCAGCCAGGGCCTCGCCAGGGCCACCCCAGCTAGGCCAGAGGACAGGTGCCCGTCTGGGTGCCTGCCACCTCCCTCTGTCTTAGAATGGCTTCTGGAAGTTTTCTGCGGTCCATTTTAGCCCGGAAGTTACGAGATCAGACACTATGGCCCCGCCAAATGGGTCAGCACTCGCGTTGAGTCAATGGACTGGGATTCCGCCGTCCAGACCGGCTTTTCAAAATTGAACAGCTACATTCAAGGCAAAAACGAGAAAGGTGAGGCAGCTTCCCTTACAATTGTGTGTGCACATGTGGGATTGAGACACCGGGTTTGTCACTGCATTTCAGCTGATTAATGAAAGGTGTTTTATAATGGGCTGGGGATTTGGCTCAGTGGTATAAGCGCCTGCCTTGCCAGCGCGCAGTCATGAGTTCGATACCCGGTGCCAAAAAAAAGATGTCTTATAGTACGAAAATAAAAACAATCTATAATGTTCTCAGGACTCTTTTCGAGGTCCTTAGTGTCAGCATTGTGCTTCCTCTGATTCTGCTGGATAGAACCTATGAGAAGTCCTTGCCCTTGGCTGGTTTTTCCAGATCATTTGGTGACTGGTGGGGTCAGGGTGATACACAAGATTAGGCTTCGCAAGTCACCACCTTTAGGTCAGGACAAAATGTATAGTTTAGTAGATCTCATCCTAAATTGTAAAGAAAAACATGTTAACTCTCATTTCCCCTTTGAGCTCTAAGAACAGAGAATTTGTTACCAAAAATAATAGTACAAAAGGTGTCTTAAGGAGGGCTGTGGGTAATTGAGCCAGTCAGGCCCTATGTTTTTAAAGATGAAAATTATCTTAAAGTTTAATTTTATTATATCAGTACTATAAATCAAGAAATTCACATGGAAAAGGGTTAAGATTTTAAAACGAGTCGTGTACATACTTTAAATTGCTTACATTTTTATGGTACAGGGGTGAAGATAAAGATGACAGCCCCGGTGACAAGCTACGTGGAGCCTGGCCCAGGTCCTTTTAGTGAGTCTTCCATTACTGTTTCCCTGTATGTCCCCTCCGAAGAGCAATCCGATCCGCCCAGGCCCTCAGAGTCAGATGTCTTCATTGAAGAGAGAGCTGAAATGACTGTGTTTGTAAGGTAAGTGGCAGGTCACAGTGCAGCCCTGCTGACTGCTGGCCGCTGACTGTCGGTTTCACTGGTCTTCACTCCCCGTTTAGCTCCTGTGCAATTGCACCCTTCCATAAAAATAGGTCAACAGCATTCATCTCACTGTGTTTTCCTACTGGCTTGGTTTGAAATGGTGCTAAGGTATGTTGTGAGATATATTCCATTCATTTAATGAGAAGCATGTTGCATGTCCTCTAAATATAAAACCTAGTACAAATTACATGCCCCCCCAAACATAAGGCTGCCCTGCCCTATAATCTAGATAAACCAAGACAAAAATATCTCCCATGACAGTCTTTGTATTTTGGGGCTGCTACAACAACATACCAAAAACTATACAAACCAAAAATTTATTTTTAATATTTTTGGAATCTAGGAAGTACCAGCTCAAGACAGTAGCAGTTTTAGTGACTAATGAGAGACTGTGCTGACTCAGCAATGGCATCTTCCTGTCTCCTTACATGGCAAGAAGAAGCAATGAGCTCTTTTATAAGTGTACTAATTCCATTCCTGAGGACTCCATCTTCATGACTTGTTCACCTCCCACAGCCCTGACCACCGGGTACTATCATATTGGTAATGAGGATCTCAACATATGAATTTGGGGGGACACACATTCAATGCACAGCATCTGCGCCTGGCCACACAGAATTCATGATTTTCTCAAGTATCAAATGCGTTTATTTTACCCTGGCAGACTCTCCCATCTCAACTTATTTCAGCTCTAAAGCAGAGGTCAACCCCAGAGTCTCATGTAAATAGCATCTAAGGCACATCCTGATGAGACTCAGGGGCCCATTCATCCTGAGGCAAATTCCCTTCAGCTGTGAGTTTGTGAAATCAACGTGTTCTGTGCTTCCAAAATAACAGCAGCGGGCGGGACATTCCCATTCTAAAGGGAGAGATGGGCGAGAGGAAATGGATAACAAGTCCCACTGCAGAACCCACTGGTTTTCCCCAGGGTTTTTACAGCTCTCTAACTCTAGCAGGACTGGTGGTGGTAGAGGTAGTATGTATGTCTGCAGTATATAATGTTTACACGCCTGTGTGGAGCTGGTACGTGTACACGATGCATCCCTTCCTTTGTTCAGTCCCTTTCCCACCTCTCCCTCCATCGCTTGTCCCCTTCCCAACTGAAAAGCTCTATCTCCCACTTTCTATTATTTTGCTCTTTATTTCTAATTTGAGTTTCTCATATAAGAGAAAGTCTGGGATACTTAGGCTTGTGTGTCTGATGTGTTTCACTTAGCATTATGGTCACAAGGTGCGTCCATTTTCTTCCAAATGACTCGAGTCTACCCTTCTTTATGACAGAAGAATCTGTAAATAGCACATTTTCTTTACCCGCTCATCTGTTGATGGACCCTCAGACTTGATGCTAATCTTCTCTGGCCCACTGGGGTACAGGTCACACCTCTAAGCCATGCTGAACATGGTTGTGCCCCCTGTGAGCTGAGCAGAACTTCAGGTGGTCCTGCTTTTAGGGAAGCTTTCACAGGTTGGAGTCACCGCCCTGCAGCTGTACCAGGCTGGAACAGCACGTCACAGCTGCCAGGCTGGTGCGCTCTGCTCCAAGCTCCATCAGGCACTGGCCTTGTGGAACTCAGTGGTGACCCCGCCCTGGCCCTGGCAAACTGCCTAGCAGGTACTCCAAGGCTCTGGGTGCACAGAGGAAATCCCCTGTGCATGTTGCCCAGCCTTCCCACTTGTGCCCTCTGAAGGCAGGCTCAGTCCACAGCCCACCATGGCTCACAGGGGGCTGAACCTGGAGTGGCCAAAGAGGGTTGCTTTAGAATGCAGGAAGAAGACCTGCAAGCTGGAGCTTGAGACTCTTTGTTTGAAGTTCTCCTGCCTTGCATTCTGAGGCTGGGATGGGAGGGCAGCCCCTGATAGTCTCTAAAATACCCTCAGCCTCATTCCTAGACTACAGAGTGGTAGCTTCAGTCCAGAATCTAGGGCCACGCTCATTCCTTATCAGAGCGCTGGTTGGCCACACCTTTCTGCTGTCCTGAATAGTATTTTCCCTTCATTCAATACGGCAAGGCTAAGAATTTCCCCAGTAGCTAAGTTCTGTTTTTCTTCTGATTACAAATTCTGTTTTTAGCCAGGGGTTTAGCTCAGTGGCTCAACCACTTGCCTGCTAAGCACAAGGTCATGAGATAAATCCCCATACCAAAAAAAGAAAAAAAAAAGTTCTGTTTTTAAATTGTTTCTCTATCTGATGTTACTGTAAGCAGCCAAACCACACCTTCAACATTTTGCTTACAGACCTGTTCAGCCAGATGTCCTGTTGTAGCATTCGCAAGCTCTACCGTGCATGTAACAGAGAAGGATGTGAACACAGTTCAACCTCTGCCGCTGCCAGTCCCCAGCAGCTGAGCTTCCTGTGCGTGCCCTGGGACAGCAGCCACCTAGGCTGGCAGCACAGCTCAGACTTTATGGTCCTACTTATTATCTCAGTCATCTGAAAACCGATCCCCAGCCAGGCCTATTATCTCAAAACATGCTTTGTGATTCTGTCCCCTTCTGTCTGTCCTCCCCGTCACTTCCTCAGGGACTGAGGCTTAGTCAGTCATTTCCGCCTGCCCTGTTCTTGGCACGGGGGCTGCCACTCCCAGCAGATCCTGGGCTGTTGACTGATTGCAAGTGACTTCTGTCTTGACCGCTTCATTTCAGTGCTCTGAACCTGCAGAACAGTGGTCTGCTAACAACACCACCCTCCCCTTGCCTGTGCTCCGTTTGAAATCTTCTGTGGGTGTCCTGTTGCTGCCAGGGTGAAGCTCAGGTTGTCCACGGGGCCCACAGTGGCCTCTGTAGTGTCCCCTGCCCTGCCTGGCAGCCCCGTGGCTGAGGTTTACAGCTGCTCCTGGGACCTTCCCACCCGTCGTGGCCCTGGCTGTGTTCTTCATCTCTCTTCCCACGCAGGTTGGCCAGCTTTTCCTCATTGGCTGTCCTTCCCTGTCAAACATGTATGATCACAGTACTTGTCTGTCTCATGGGGCTGTGATGAAGATCAAGTGAACTAATTTCTGTAAAACGCTTGGGACATGCGTGTTGCACACTTTGATCTTCCAGCCAGCCACTCTGGCCTTGCTGCCCTTGCTTCTGTTATTATTATTACGCTAAGTGTTAATGTCCTACTCATAGACTATACCACCTGTCACCAGTCCAGCAAGGCAGATGTGTGGAGGTGGAGAAGAGTGATCTGTGTACAAAACAAGCGGTGGACAGGTCACTACAGAGCAGCGTGTTTTCAGAGAACAGAAGTGACCTCCAGTGAGAGGGTTCAGGATTTCTTCTGAAGGGAAAATCGGGATCTGTGTTGGTCTTCATTAAAGAAATTAATAAATGTAGGAAGCAAAATGTTCCTTACCATACGGCTCAGAACTACAGTAAGTTCCTGCGGTGACGGTGGTAGAAGAGCTGGATGAGCTCACCTGCCATGGTTTATTTATACATCTGTGCACACGGAGACAGCCAGGTTTACACTGGATTTCAAGGGAGCTGTGGGCCAGGAACGCGTCTAGGTGTGGGGCAGGCGTTGCTGAGTAAAATAGACCTGGCTTGGGCTTCTGAGAGTTCACATCGTACATGAAGCGTGGCAAGACTGATTTCTGGCATTGCCGCATTGCCGACGAAACTTTACCACAGAAGGCATGTTAGGGATATTTTTGTCTTTCAGTGTCTCTTATTCCTAATCTTCAAAATCAGGTTTATCATGCTTGCGTGCCAGCAGCTCAGCGAGGGCAGCGTGCTGTCGTCATTTAACCTCAGAATGCGTTACAGACTTTAAAATCTGTTCTGAAATGTCTGTTCTCTTTCCTGCTTTTCGCTGAAATATTTTTTTCCTTTCCTGAGGAGCTGCTGCCCTCCAATCTTGGTTCCGTCTCTTCACTGTGTTCTTACCCACATCTCAGGCTGCTTTCTGCTCTGCATTCCTTGGAAATTCTGGAAAGAATTTGAGCCAGGACTTCCTACCAGGGCCTGCCTTCCCGACCTCGTTGTATGCTGTGTACTTTTACACTTTTGTTCCTTTTCTCATCCCTCGCCTTCTCTGTTCAGCAAAGCCATCCAGGCACTGCAGCCCACTCGGGGACACCCATGCCCTGGAGCGCTCCCACAGCACTTTGGACTCACTTTGATTACATGCTGGTCTCTTTTATTACATCTGTGACGCAGTATCTGTTCTTTGCCCAAGGAGAGAAAGAAAGGGTTAATGTTGAATAGAAAACGGAAAGGTCTGAGCTGGGTACGTGGAATCCCTGCTGCTAGGGAGGCTGAGGCAGGAGAATTTCTTGAGCCCAGGAGTTCCAAGACAGCCTGGGAACATAGTGAGACTCCATCTAAATCAGACAAGAGACAGACAGACAGACACAGAAACAGAGACAGAGAAGGAAAGTAAGAGGAAATAAATTGAGAGTCTGGAGGGTAATTCTAAGGAGTTTCAGTGTAGTTCAAAATCAGTGGTTTGGATACTTGCTAGAAACATACTCTGAGGTCCTAGCCCAGACCTCCTGAATCAAGTTTTCACAAGGTGTAACAAGTTTGAGAAGCATAGGGGTTGAGCACAGGAAACTGTGTAAGGTGCAAATTTGCCTGTCAGCAGCTGGGACTTGGATGCCCAAGTCTCCTGAGCTTCCCCGTGGGTCTGAGGCCACGTGAGACAGAACCACAGGGAGGGAAGGTCCACGCAGTAGCTTGGGAGCTGCGTTTCCTCCAGCACTGGGGTGCAGCTCCCGCTGCTCTCCTCTAACTGACACTCACGTCGTCATGGTGCCACACACCTGCAAGCCCAGCACATGAGGCCTGCCTGGGCACCATAGTTCAGTGTCAGCATGAACTACCAAGTCTTTATGTCTGTTTCCCTTCTCTTGTGTAGGTCTTTCGATGGATTCACTAGCGCCCAAAAGAATCAAGAACAACTTTTGACATTAGCAAGCATTTTGAGGGAAGATGGAAAAGTCTTCGATGAAAAAGTTTTCTACACCGCAGGCTACAGCAGTCCTTTCAAGTTGCTTGACAAAAACAACGAAGTGTGGTTGATTCAGAAAAACAAACCCACCGAAGCAGGTGAATGAGACGGTGAAAGGAGGCTCACCGCTAGGAACCTGCTGTTCCTAGATGCATCAAAACCACCGCAAGAGAAAGCAGTGTCTGGTCGGTCTTTCTCTCTGGGTCCCACCAGGAAGCGCATTGATTTCCCATGTGCCTTTTTAAATGCTTGAAGCTTCCCTCGTACACAGATCCTGGGGACAGATCTGTAAATGAATAAACTGGCCATCTCTGGTGGTCTCTATGTCTGCGAGGAACCAGAAACTATTGCATCATTTTCTCCTTCTTTGCTATGTCATAATCATGTTACCGCCTTGTACTGTGCTTGAATTTGCGTCAGGAGGGTGGGATCCTGTAGACAATATTGGTAAGAGCGTTAAAGGTGGACCCCGTGTGGAAATATGAGGCCATAACCCAAGAGGTGAGCCCACAAAAATAAACGATAGTTTGTGGCAGCTACTGTTACATTTTCTGTTGAGCCATCTTCTCCATCTGCCTGTGGCCCCCTGCACAAGAAAACACTTACCTCCAAGTGTTTTTTCCCAGTACTAAGGATTGAACCTAAGGTCTTCACACTGGGCTATATTCCAGCCCTTTTTATTTTTTTATTTTGAGACAGGATCTCAGTAAGTTGCTGATTGCCCAAATTGGGCTGAAACTTGCAGTCCTCCTGCCTCAGCTTCCCAGATTGCTGGACTGACTGGCATGCAGCATTAGGCCTGGCTAAAAGTGCTGATATTTTGGAAGAGAATAAGTCTGTGAAGTTAGGCACTGCCTTTTTTGCTTGAAACTCAAGGTGTGTTTCTTGTAGAAATGTACTCAAATGTACACTTTTAAAATTCATTTGAATTTTTAAAGTGTTTCATGTAGTATGCTTCTCTAGAGGTTTTGTAACTATGATTAGTTATTCAAAAAGTAGGTTGCTACAGAATCAAGGAGGTTAGAAGTCCTTGCCTAATTGAGCTGGAAATTGCCATCCTGAGAAGGTAAGTCGGGTCCCTGCCAGTCAGGTCCCTAACACCTGTCCTGGGAAGGGCCCTCGAGGGACCGTCCTTCCAGGGAGGATGGCTCCCACAGTGGGGAGATACACAGTGAGCTCAGTGGCTTCCTGCCAGTTCAAACTGCCAGTGAGGGTGCAATGCCTGTTCCCCTCATTGTTTAAGCAGAGATTACTCATTCATTTCTCAGGAGATAGCTGCTTAGCTAGGAGGTTGGAGCAGCCAACAGATTGGTGGGGAAGAAGATACATAACGTCCCTTCAACCCTAAAATTGTGTGTCTCTTAAAAATTAATCTCCCTAGAGTATTACTATGCCACAAGGAAAGAAATGTGGGTCACTTGCTGGAAAATGGATGACCCCAGAACTTTTGAGGCTGACACAGGAGGACTGCTGCAAGTTGGATCAGCCTGGGCTCCAGAGTGAGCCCAGCCCAGCCTGAACTGCACAGTGAGACCGTGTCTTAAAAAAAAGGGTAAAGGAAATGAATGCACCTTGAGACCATAATATTAATGAAGTAAGTCAGGCACACCTGCTTAAATATCTCATGGTCTCTGTTACATTAAAGTCCAAAAGTATAAAAGTCAAAAAGTCCAACGTGTAAATAAGGAACAAAATAAAAGATAAGATAGTAGGATCCAGGGAGATGATAGGTCTTTTGTAAATGGAAAGGGGATCAAGAGACAGAAGGAGTGGACCAAGGAAGGGGGAGGGGACTAAAAAGAAGTGAGGTATACACGCACCAACTCCCTACGATGGACATAATCCCTGTGTACCGACACCGTGTACTAATAAAAATCATTGCACGTTGTGAGGTCAATCTCCCTAACCCGGTTGCAGACTACCACCCCTACAGTTACCGTTTCTGTGCCCCCTTATGGATTACCTCCCAAGCACTGTTCTAAATGCTCTTCCTGAATTTCTGACATTCACCTCAACACATTTAACGATTCCATTTCACAGATGAGGACATGGAGGCACAGAACTGTAAGGCAACTTGCCTTAGACAAAACTGAGGGCAAAGGCTGAGAGGAGCCCAGGCTTGCTGACTTTGAAGCTCACACTGTTCATAACTACCTCCAAATTATAAATTCTTGGGGATACAGGAATGTCATTACACTTCAGGTTTGGCTTTCATATGTTAATCCAGGCTTTCCTCTATTGTGTGGCCACTTGCACAGCTGACCCCAAGTCCTGTGAGGAGAAGACAGCCTTACAGCAGTACTTGCTGCCATGCTGCAGGGACTTTGTTTTGGGGCCCAGCATCCTCTGCAGGTTCAAGTTTTGGGTCAAAAACTGTCTAGCACTGGGAGCTGGGAAAGGAGTCATGATGGGTTTCTTGATAGGTGTGATGTCCCTCAGCCCCATGCTCATCCATCTTGCCTTCTTCTGAGTATTATAAAGCACTGCCCTGTTACCTACCAGTCTGTGTGTCCCTGGGTGGCTGTGTTCTGTGAAGCACCTCCATAAGAATTCACACTCCAGGCCTGCTGGCCACCATTTTGAATTTGGGGGTTAACATGATAATGAGAACAACCTGGCTCCTGTGATCATTGGCCTCTGAGCTTTTGGAGGCCTCCATATTTCTCTCAGAAAGCCCCAACCTCTATTACATTCCTGCCTGTGCTGGACTGTGGAGGAGCCTCCATCTAGGTCCTTGGTCGTGTTTATGCCAGTCCTAGCATTCTCCAAGACCCACATGAATGATGGGTCCCCTTGGCCTTTCTCGGGGAACATAATCTCCCAACAGGACATCTTTCATTTCAACCTTCCCCTTCCCCAAGCCCTTTCATTCCTCTATTGCTTGACAAATTCAGGCTTTTAAACATTTCTATTGTTCTTCTAGGCTTCTGTGAGTCTCTGCAGAAGCAGTGAATTTGTCCTATGCTTTGGTGTATGTGGTCTTTTCCCATGGCACTAAATCCTGTATCCTAAGAGCTCCTCCCCAGTCAAGAAACTCTTTCCCTGTGTAGTGCTCTCTGGGCCAGGCTAATGCTGAGATGGAATTAGAAGCTACTCCTCCAAAAGGATAAGAATTGAGCAGATAGATGCACTGTCAGATTGCAGTGCAGAGCTGAGAGGTTGTGAACCAGTCCACCGAGGAGACCCAGAATGAAGGCTATTTTTCGGAGGATTCTGGAGCCAGAAATGGCACAGTCTTATACCTCTGCCTTGTTCATTCATTGCCTGAAAGTTGGCAGGAAAATGCATGAATTCAGGCACCTGTGTCTTGCCCAATGACGGGCTGGGTACTGCCCTGAGAATTGTGTGCCCTTGACTTGTAAGATGATTAATTCTTCCTTGAAGGTAAACCTGAATGGCTCACTGCTATGTGACCATGCACCTCAACTCCAAATCCCTCAAAAGAACAGACTATTCTTTGTGCCCCCTAGCAAATCAGTGTCAGAAATAGTCAGGGACAACTTTGCCTCAGCGACCTCACTTCTAAACCAGGCTTCTAAATCCTGCTCGTCAGCAGAGCCCTCTTCTAACTGAAGCTCCACAACCAAAGCTCAGTCAATCCCTAAATGCATTTGCAAGTCTGTTAATTCTTGGATCTCCCTTTCCTAAAGTCCTCCACAGCGTCAGCAGTTCTCTTTATCCAGAGAGACGGCACTGTCCTGTGTGGCACACACTGGTGTGCCTTTTCCCTTGTCACCATCACTTCTGACAGGGTGTGCCTGTTCTGCCAGCCCTGGCTTTTATCCTTCACACCTCCAGGGTCTCTGGAGAGATCTTTCTTGGCCACTCTATGTGACACTCACCATAGCCCAGCTCCTAGCGTGGTGCTGGAACACAGGACTCCATAATGAGCTGAAGAATGGACACGAGAGGGAGACAGCAGAGAGGCGCTCGTGGGTGTAGCAAGCTTAGACCAGCCGCACAAGTAGAAGATGGAGACTTCAAATAAAGAGTTACTAGGTGGCAAAGCAGAGAGAGGAAGGAATATTGGTCTTGCTGAGTGAGGAGGCAGCGGTCAGAGAAGACCAAGATGGACAGAATTTGTCAGTAAGAGTAAATGAGAGGAGAAAGGATACAGAAAGATAGGTAGATGATAGATAAAGAGAAAATAAAAGCAAGCTTTGAAAGGATAAGTCTAACCAGAACGAAGCCCAATGCAGTTAAGAAGGACTGTATCTGCACATTATATATATGTAATTCTAAAAATTTAATGCAATGGGATTAGACGAGGTCACCAAGGGACAGCACAGCCTGAGAAGAAACTGAGAAACAAGACCCCCTCCCATCATTCCTCTCCTAAAAGCCTTCTTTTCCCTCAATTGCAAAACAAAACCCAAATTCCTTGCAGTTACAACCCAGGCCCTTCTCATGCTGCCCCGGGTCACCCTTCCTGTCTCAGCTACACGGCTTCCTCTAATTCCAACCCCTGTGCCTTTGTTCACCCCACTCACACCCCTCCACATTGGCTCGGAAAGTCTTGCTCTGCCGACCGTCCCTGCATGGCAAACCCCTCCCCACTAGGTGTCTCGGAGAGGTCCACATGGCCAAGCCCTCCTCACTGACCAGCTCAGTAGGAATGGGTTCTGAGGCTCAGCTGAGGACGTGGCTTGTCCAGTGTGTCCGGATAGGCAGCCCAGGCTGGGGCTGTGACTCTGCATGCCGTAACAGTCAGGCCCCTGTCTCCTCTGCAACCCGGGACACACGGCTCCCATTCTCTGTTGCCTGAAAGGTTCCTTCTCCAGCCTTCCATCATTTGAGGGAGACACAGGAGAGCCCAGAGTAGGAAAAGACAGCACCTACGTAAGGAAAGCAAGGAAGGTCCTTGGACATTTCCAGCCTACTGCCTGTGTCTCACTGACCAAAGCTGACCAAAGACCTGGTCCTGGAGACCACAGGGGAGCCAGGAGGTGTGGCACTTTGGTTGGTGCCCTGCCAGCCCACAGGGATTGGTGTAGGAACTGCTCGCCTTTGTGTAGGCTCTGCTGCAGACGAAGACTTTTCAGGATAGTCACTGTGCTCTTTCTCCCTGGGTTGAAGGCCCTCTGCCTCCTAGGAAAGACTTTTCCTCATTGCCAAACAGATCACTGTGGCTCACTCAGCACCTTGGTCTGTAAATCAAGGCCGCCCTGTGAAGAACACAGGGCACAGTGCTCACTGACAGAAAACCGCCTTACAGCAAACGGCCTGAGGAAATGGAAGCCTGAGAATCCTGTCCGCATTTTACTCAAAAGCCCCTCACTCCTCCTCCAGCCCAGTCCCGGATCCCATATCCTGATCTTTCTCACACTAGCCTCCTGTGGTGGTTTCACAATGAACTCTCAGCACTATAAGTAATCACTCACAGGTAGGCTGGGAACCCACAGTGGTCAGTGCAGTAGCTCACCTGCCCTCCCAGGATACCACGCGGAAGGACACTGTGGCGGGGAGTGAGCTGGACACACAGAAATGCCTCCTCTTCTTCGCCACTGTGACTTCCCAAATGAAGACAATAATAAAAGGGTATAGTGATTGTGTATAACCTACATATCCTCCCACATACCTTAAATCATCTCCATGTGACCTAGCGGATCTAATCCAATCTGAAATCTATGTGAAAAGCAATCACAGGACATTGCTTATGAAATGACAGGAAAGCCTCCCTGTCCAGCACCAATGTATTATTTCAGCTATTGCTGATCTGCAGTTCATTGAATCTAGAGGGGCAGACCCCGTCTGTGTATGGGAGCGACAGCTGTACACTCTCAGGTCCCCAAGAGCAGCAACAGATCTCAATCTTCAGAAACAGGGGGCAGGCATCAGACCAATGCTGAGACCATTTCCAGCTGGCAGCCCAATGTTCTTTGGTTTCTCTTGCAAGTCTTAAAGGAAAAAAAATCAAGTGGAAATCAGCCCTGGGGCGTCTGTGACTGTCTGGCCTAAGAAGGGCTGTCCCGTCTACACTGTCTGCACTCGTGGAGGCTCAGAGTAAGGTCCATCCCACTGACAGCAGTGCGCCCCACAGAGGAATAAAGCTCTAAGCGAGGCTACAGTCTGGTTGAGGCAGGAATGGAGATCCGGGTCTTCCATCCATGCCTGTGACTGTTCTCTCCTTCCACAGATCACATTAGCTGGACCAGCAGCCACTGTGACATGCATTTATGCTGAACTCCTTTAGCACAGACTTTGGGTTCAGCAGGGTGAGCGTCTGTGTTTCTCTCCTCACAGCCAGGTTCCCAGCTCCCACAGCCCCCACTGCTCTTCGCTGACCTGTCTGGATCTTGCAACATGCTCCACATGTCTGTATGAAAAGAACTCATCTCACAGTTCAGAAAACACATGCACAAACAGAGAGTGACTTTACAATGGCTTTATTTAATGCAAATTTAAAAATGTGTATCTTTAAAAAAGGGATTCTTTAATGGTTTTTATCATTAGTTTTAATGTTGCTTATCTAACCTTCAAATAAATGATTTATATATTAAGTTCAAAATTTCTGATAGCCATATACATTCTAATTTTTTTTAAAGTTTCTATGGGAAGACTTCATAATCAGAAGCCACCACTACTTTTCTAAAATTCACAAGAAGTGATCTGTGTGCCCCATGTTGTAGACAACTGCCCCCGAAGGGCAAAAGCCCTTGTACCTGTGGTCAAACATCAGGTCCTTTTTTTTTTTTTTGAGATAGTCTCACTATGTAGCCCCAGGCTGGCCTTGAACTCACAGAAATCCTCCTGCCTCAGCCGCCTGAGTGTTGGGATTACAGGCATACACCCATGTCTGGTAGATCAGGTCCTATGTAAAAAGTAAGGTTTTGTTTTCCTCAGAGAAGGAAAAGAGACTTAATTTATCAGAAGTTTTATTTCTCATAAGTTTTATGCGGAATGGACCTGTGCAGTCCAACATTCAGATGACATTTTCATAGCAAAATAGAAGACAATGGGCAAAAACTGCACTGTGTCTAAACTAAGGATCTCAGTAGAGTCACCCTAGGCCCTTCTGATGATGAAAACAGGACTCTCTGGATGGGACAGAGTGAGAATCATACAAATATTACATTAAAATAAATATACACTTTTTCCCATGTTGAAAAGTATAGAAACTTGGATTGGAGAAGATTAGATGGCAGTTAGCAACTCATTTACAAACAAATATAAAAACACACAAACCAAATACTGCAAAAAGAAAATCTTTTTAATCTAAAAACTCATCTCCCAGGGCTAATTAATAGCCAAGCCTTACAAATGTTTTATCAGTTATCAGTTTATTTGACTAAGAAGAGCCGCTCAGCACTTTCTTCCAAGTACGATAATAATAATAGATTTTGGTAAACCTTTCTAAATTAGGGTGTGAGACTGCAGGGAGTTCAAGGAAAAACATAGCCATAGTTTTGTGTTTTCTTTGGTGTGACCAAAAGGATATCCAAAAGTTAGCAAATGTTGACGTGGTAAGAAATTGCCAAATGGAAGTTTCAGCTCTAGTAAAAAAGAAAAATGGGGAGGAAGAAAGACTCTTGGAAAAGCTTTGCCCACAGTGTTGTAGTGCAATTTTTCAAATTTAATTCTGAAAATAATTTTATTTAGTAAGCAAGAAACAAATCCCAGCAGTGGATCTCTTCCGCCTGCCCTGTCTCCCTGGCTGTCCATCACGACCGGCTCTGGGTCGGTCTGGGCTGCTGCCCCAGGAGGAGAACCCTTTAAAAACCGCCCACACCGGGCTGAAAGCTGCAGGCACCGAGTAGAGCATTGCCACTTCCGTGTTTTGTCGTTTTTACAAAAAAGAAACAAAGCCTTTTCCCCCAGAAAAAAGTACCTGAACCCATGAGTCACTGAGCCCTTTGCTAGCTGCTTCCTGCTCCCCAGTTCGCCTCACTGAACAGCCTGCACTGTGCCCTGAGGTCCGGGTATCTGTCCCCTCCTTCACCTGTACCCCCTTCTTGGGGAGCTGCCTAATTTCCACACACATCATGCTTTGAAACCACCTTGTCCAGAGGGCTCCACCGCCTACATAACGCTTTCTATTTCTGTATACAGTGTTTGTGTATCTGTTAAAAGTGTTCCAATTGCACACAAACACCCAGCATTTCAGCAAGAAAAAAAATCTTCCCCAGGAAGCACTTTCAGAAGTTGAAGCTTCTACTTGCGTTCAAGCCACACACAAGTGGGCAGTGAGTTCTAAATGCCTCGCAGCACTGGCGCCCACCACGAGCAGGGTCAGGGATGCCACCTCAGTTGGTTCCCTGGGCTCCGAGGGCACAGCAGCCCCGAGCAGCGGTCTAGCTCGGGCCCTGACTCTGCTCCTGGCCAACACCTTCAGGGGGCTCTGAGGGGTCCCCGCCCTCGTCTGCCGGCCCGGGAGTCCGAGGCCCCAAGGAGGCATCGGGCACCTCTCCGCCCTGGCTGCCCTGGCTGTCCTGGTCCGAGGCGCCCGACTTGGCGCGCCGCGCCCTCGGGTCGGTGGCCTCCACGGCCTCGCCCTCGCCCTCGGAGATGACGGTCATCGGGCTGCTCTGGATGCGGTTGCGCACGCTGTAGCGGCTGCTGGCCGCGGAGGGCGGCGTCCGGCTGCGGCAGTAGCGGGGCCCGGAGAAGGACAGGCTGCGAGGCATGGGGCCCTCGCTGCGCGCCCACTCCTCCTGCGCCCTGCGGCTCTTGCTGGGCGAGCAGCTGGACGGGCTCTCGGGGGCGTCGGGCGCGGGCTCCGACCTGGACCTCTGGAAGCGGGGGTCCGTGTGCCTGAGCATCTCGGCCGCCGACATGCGGGCGCTGGTGTCCGCGCGGCTGCCCTTCTTGAGCAGCAGGGCTTTGAAGTTGTCGCTGCTGGTGCTGCTCCTGCGCACGCTCCTCTGGATTGAGCCCACTTGCTTGGGGGAGGCCAGGCTGGGCGCGGTGCCCGTGGGGGTCACTGGTGGGGAGGGAGAATGGTTGCGCGAGTGGTCGTCCTCAGAGTCTCTCCGGCCAAGGACTTTCCTTTTGGATCTGTGATTTAATGACATCGAGAGGCAGGTTAATTCTCACCAACCTCGGTCACCTTCGCCAGCTGCTCTTAGCACTTCTTCAGCTCACCAACTAGTTAAGATTTACTTTTCCAAAACCTAATTTTAACTGTGGAAAAAATAACACCCTGGGAAAAAAAATAACACTCCATTGGCTCACCAAAGCTACCTATGAGAATCATGGTGGCAAATCTCCATTCTCATTGGCTATTTTTTTTTTTTTAATAAATTTTATTAGTACCTGTGTGTGGTGCCTGATGACTGCATTCCTCGTGGGAGCTGTACATGTACAGGTCACTTGTTAATGCTCCCTGTTCTCTCCACCTCCCTATTGCAAAGGATCTGTCTCCCTGTTTCCTATTATCTCTATTATTCTGCTCTTTATTTACATTTTGGGTTTCTCGTATAAGAGAAACCAGGCGACGGTTAATCTTGTGTGTCTGACTTATTTGACCTAAGATTACAGTCTCAAGGTGCATTCATTTACCTGCAAGTGATGCAAGTGTGTCTTTACTACAGAGTCCTACTCCACTGTGTGTAAACACTGCTTTTGTCTCTTTCTAGTCATCTGCAGAGGGACAGAGGGGCTGATTCCAAGACATAACTATCATTGAGTCGTGGTGAATTATTGCAAAATAAACCTCAGACATTGTACGATCTCACTTCAGGCAGGACCCTTCCCAGAGTTTTCACTTGACGCTCCAGATGGGACTCAGCCTGAGAGGATGTCGTATGTAAGCACCCTGTTTTTCTGCTCTCCCTTTTCTTGTTTAATACTTGTACTTGAATGGGCCTGTCAGGTCAGCCTGTGCCCAGAACATGCCCTCTCCTGTGACACGCCCCCTGGAGGGTCTAAAGCAGCTCTCCACTTTACAGGCTTTTTCTAAAGTCAGACACAAAGTGCCCCCCCTTCCTTGGTTCTTACAAGACCATACGTCAACTTCCAGAATGTAACTTTCCGAGAAAGCAAGAGTGGACCTTCTGTACCAGACCATTTCAGGGTGGACTTTAAAAACCTCAAGGAGAAAATTGTGACAGAGAAAATTCAAGGGATAGGGCAGGGGCAGAGGCTGATCAGGAGAAGGGAAATGTTTGCAGTCTTAGAGATTTCTTGCCCTCAGTTTCAGAGAACCTTCCCCTCCAGTGTGTCATGATACTGTGAGGAAATCAGGGACAAGGCAGGTGAGTTCAGCACCCCTGGCCGGTTTCTTCCTAACTATGTAGTGAATGGCAGGTGGGCACAGGGTTCTCCTGATGGAATTTTGATAGTTTAATTAAAAGGAAAAAGAAAGAAGAGAAGAGAAGAGAAAAAAGAAAAGAAAAGAAAGAGAAAAGACCCGGCCCCGGGCTGGTGGAGCAGGGCTGGTCCCAGGACTCTGGGAGGCTGAGGATGTTGCCTACTCTGAAAGCCCTGGGTTCCCTCCCAGTGCTGGAATCTGTCTCTTCTCCCACTATGAAATCCCTGCCTCAGCAGCGGGTGACGGATGTGTGTACTGTAACTGAAGACTTGGACTGAATGCGCCAACAAAAGTTGTGTGGTCCGGACAAGATGCCTGCCTCTGCCGTGCCTCAGTCTCCACACTTGGGCTTCACAAAGCTTAGAATGCCACATAGGAAACAAATTATTGCTTTCTGTCACCAGGTCAAGTTTAGTTTCCATGCCCCGAAGACAAAAGGTAGCTGACCTGGCACCCAGGTGCTCCCAGAGTTGTCTCCATGCTTTTGGCCAAAAAGAAGCCACCAAAGTGCAGACAAGTCTGAAGGGCGGCCAGAGCACACAGGACGCCAGCTCCCGCGGGATCACAGAGTATGGCCTGGAAGACTTCGACTCACTGGTCCTACCTGCTGGTCTACAAGAGCAGCAGCCTGGATAGAATAATACCACTTACTCACGTGGAGGACACTTCACAAAACACAGAAGGAAGAGCATCTCCACACTGTAGAAGAGGCCCAGGCTTTAGACGTGGTCTAGGCTGTCTCATGGTCAATCTACGGAGAGCGTGCCTCCAGGCTGTTGATGTCACTGAAAGCTCTGACAGGTTCTCTCTATCACCGGTCCAGTCCAACCACTTTGGGTTTTAAGAGGACACGTAGCTGGTTAGTCTGACCTCCAGGATGTGGTGGCATTTCTTCCACTCACAGCCACAGGGTCTCACAATGGTGACCCTCTAAAGCAGTCCAGAGACTCTCAGCCTTGCAGGTATTTTTGTTTGGTTCTAAATAGGGATAGGAAGGTATGCTGCTACCTAAACCAAGCCATACCTACACTTGATTAAAGCTAAGGCCTTTAATTGCAGATATAGAATTGAAAGAGAAGATAGGTTTTTAGTAGAGCATCACTGTTTCTCGAGAGCAGCTGGTACTTAAAGTGAGAATTAAATTTAAACATACGAATGCTCTGCCTCCGTGTATGTGTATGTGTGTGTGCCTGTGTGTGTGTGTTTCCAAAGAAGACAGCTATAAAAAGTACTTCAACAGTTAACACTGGCTCAAAAACTAATTACTTCAATAAATAGAGAAACTTCACACCTCACATGGCGCGCTACACTCTCCATCTGGCTTTAAATCTGAAGTAAATTCATTTGCATCAGAAGATTTCAAAGCTACGCTTCAATTTAGATAGTCTTTATTTTAAATGATGATTGTAAGGACTGAAGGACATGAAAATAAAGCCCTACATAGCACAGATTTCAGATGGATTTTTATATCATCAGCTAACTGGTATTAATGCTATGGCAGAAATTAGTATGGGTCCTTGCTTTCTCTTTGCAAGACATTCCCAAGGCTGCTAGGCCCTTCTTCTGTCACATGTGCTGGGGACCACAGATTGGCCCATTTCCACATCTGTAGAACCATGTAGAGGAGAAACTGCATGTATTTCAGTGACCTCTGAAGGTTGCCAAGATAAAATACAGAAGCAACTTTCAGCATAGTTTTGGGAAAACTATGCACTAATTTGGGGTTTCCTTGAGACCAAGTATTTTTGGTACACAGCCAACCAGGCAACACAAACCCATGTGGCAAGCTATTATACATATATATTCCTATATACTATATATTTCTATATTCCCATATACTTAGCAATTCAGTGCACTCCATGCTAAATGAAAGACTGAGTTTTGAAGGAATTTCCTAACAGCTAAATTCCAATTGGCTTCATTTAATTCAGAAAAGTATTTATTGAGTGCTTAGTATGTGCCTGGTACAGATAAAGTTAGAAGGCTCTGTGTGCATTTCTGGAAATGCCACACCACTTCATTTTTGTGTTTTAAAAAACAGTTGACTGGTCACTTTCTTTTTTCCTGTAGTGGGGTTCACACCTAGGAGAACTCCACCACTGAGCTACAGCCCCAGACTCCCTTCTTATGGTTTATTCTTCTGAAGCAAGGTCTCACTAAATTGCCAAGGCAGGATTTTAACTTAAGGTTTCCTTGCCTCAGCCTCTCTCAGTGCGGGAACTGCAGACATGTCTTACCATGCCTGGCTCTAGCCATCTTTTTATGTCTGATAAAAATCAAAGAAACCCGTCAGACAATATTAAAGGCAGCAGTTTTTAAGTGTCTATATATCAATACCAGAGCAAAGAAGCAATTCTTGGTCAGCACCTCAATTTTCTGGCTTAGTTTTCCCCAAAGTTACATATTTATATGTTTCATGGGGAGTTTCAAGTAGGGATAGCACTGTACTTTTGACTCCATAAAACAGTTGTTTTGTTTTATTTTTCAATAAAATTCCAAGAATTAGGGATCAGTACCAACACAGGTTACTTATACAGAGAAGAATCAAAAGATTTTATAATATACTTTGTCTCCAAAAGGGAAGAAAAGACCTTTGATTGCATCAAAATAAGGTTTTGGTGGCATAGGGCATTCATAAAAGTTATATGAAAATAGTGATAAATCTAGAAAGAGGCAAAAAGATTATACAGTGTTACGGTTTAAAGATGTGCACAATCATAATCTTCTTAATTTCTACAGTGACTCTGTACGAGAGTGCCCGCTGTTTACTTCCAGAAAACAGCGTAATAAATAAATCATCTTCCCTTTTTAAGGTGAACAGATACAAGAATGGTTAACAGTTCAGGCACTTCATTTTGAAAAAACGATCGCATACTTTCTCTTTACCCCAACAATTCCAGATGCCAGTAGATGGCACTAGTGGCTTGCAGTAGCAAGTGAATTTGATTTCTCTGGTTTAAAGAGATGCACCTTCACTGACATAGCTTGAAAAACTGCACCATAGCATTAGGGGGTTTTTTCTTTTCTGTGAGATAGGGGGAAATTTACGACACCCTTAAGAAGGGGTAGGTAAAGCCATCTGTGCCTCTAACTCCCTCCTGTGAATTCCTGTCAACACTGTCACATGACTGACACTGTTTCTGGCCGACAAGCACTATCCCTACCAGAAGGTATGCCACCCAGCCTCTGTCCCCTGTGTCAACAAGGATGACGCTGTTTCAGTGCAACAAAGTAACACAGTAGCTAGAGTAGGGGCAAATAAAGGCACAGAAACACAGGAGGGGAAAAAATCCATTAATAAAGTTAATGAGTCACCCACAGCTGGGTGGCAGAAGAACCCTCAAGAAAACAGAGGAGCTACTTGGAAGGAAGGAATTCTAAAGCAGGGGAGTGTCGGATACCTGTGAATGGCTGCAAAAAGGTCTTCGGTGGTCCTGGGTCTCGTGGGGGTTGTCACCTCCTCACTGTCATCTTTGTGGAAGAAGTCACAGGCTTCTGAGGAGGGCTCTGCTGCGTGTGCCTCCTGTACCCCAGCTAGGGAGAAGAAAGCGGGCAGGCAGTGAGATGCAGCCAGTACAATTTCAGTCCTTTGCCAGGCTCCCAAATCTGTTTTCCCGCCATTCCTGACAATTTGAGAGCCACAGCAGGCGCGGTGGGGTCTGCAGTTCTTGGTTTTACAAAGATGCAGAAAATGACAGAGCCTGCCAGCCGGAGCTCACTCCTGTCTGCATCACAGCTTGCGCTGGGCTGCTCCTAACGCTATCAGAGGGTTCTTTTCAGTTCTTCAGAAGGGAGATTACTCATTGCTAGTTCATACCCAGTCTGCTACAAAACCACCCCCACCTCCCTATTTTCTGCCAACTCTGTCTGTGAGCTCTTCCCTTAGACCTGGATTTTGAAAAGAAAAAAAATGTTTCAAAATGCAGAGTTGTAACTTACGGGCAGCAGCCTACATGCTGTTGGCTTTAAAGTGGATAAATCTGATCTACCTGGGCTCTTGCGCAAGCCCTCAGCTGCCCTATTTGGCACAGCTGCAGATGATAAGAAACACACCAGAGAGGATTTGACTTACCTTCTCCATCCTGTTGAGAAGGGCAGGTCTCTGCACTGCCCACACTGTCCCCAGGGGGCTCTTCCTGCGTGGGGGCTGGCGAGGCATCGGGCTGTACCATGGGGGCATTGGTTTCCACTCTACTGAGAGACTCAAACCCTGCAGCTCCTCCCTCCAGCCCCGAGCTGCCAGGGCCCGTGGCATGAGAACCAGCTCCAGCCGCAGAGCTCTCCTGTGCCTCTTTGCTGTGTGCAGAGCCCTCCTCTGCCCTGGTGGGGCTGGGCACATCTCCCAAGGCTTCACTCACATTCTCGGCGGTGAAATCTCTCTGCGGAGGTGGTACCACCAGGAACAGTTTGGGCTTTTTGGAGATGGGGGGCGGCTTCCTGCTGGGTGAAGAGTCTGGGAGTGGGGTGCTCCTGAGGCCAGGCCCAGGCTCTGCCTCCCCAGTGCCTGGCGCAGGACACGGAGCTCCAGGGCTGCGGCTTGCAGGACCGCCATGCTCGGCTGCACTGTCACGGTCACCCTGACTCGGGCTCTTGGCAGGCGTTGGAAGGGAGCTAGTCGCAGAGGCAGGCTGGCTTTCACTCTCCATTTCATTTATGCTATTTCGGGATTTTAGGAGAGCAGATGGCTTTAAGTGATACTGTGGAACAGTCGGAGTTCGTTGTTCTTGAGCTGCTGGTTCAGGCGATGGTGCCACGTCGGCCCCCGAGCCCCTTCTCACTGGCCTCAGCTGTACCATCTGCAGTGCTTCTGTAGTGATCAAGGGCATGGTGGGCCTGGCACTCTCCTCCTTGTTCAAAGGTGGCCTCAAGGCCTCCCGGGAGGATTCCACTGGCCCAGAGTTTCTGAAAGAAGGCCTCATGTCTTTCATGAATTTGGGGTCCAAGGGAGGGGCAGGTGGGGGCTCCAAGGAGGATGGGAAAGGTGGGGGTGCTGGCAAGGAAGCCGGTGGCTCTGGAATAAAGGGGCTCAGTGCTGTGGGGGTTGGGGGGAGGCACCCGTCAGGCTGGGAGCAGGAGAGGGTGAGCACTTCTGGGGGTGGAGGGGGAAACACAGGCGAGGGAGGCAGAGGGGAGCCCCCAGGGCCATCTGCTACAGGGGGAGGCGGGGGAAGAAGGGGAGACTTGTCCGCAGGACCTGAGGCTGGGACAGGAGGGAGGGGAGGAGCGAGGGGGGGCAAGGCTGGGGCTGCATCCAGCTTCCTCACTGTGCCCCCACCTTCAGTGGATGTATTAGAGGACAGAGATGTGGATGAGGAGGACATGGACACTGAGGAGATCAGAGAGGACTTCCTTTCTGGAACCTTGGGCTTGGCCTTCCCCTTCCCATTGGCTGGGGACACTGATTTTAAAAACACAGGCACAGGGGTGAGTGCGGTGGGTGTGTTCGACTGGCTGGAATACCCGCTGGATGGAGAAGTGACTCTCTGGGACTTCTCTGGCGATGTGACCTTTGGTTTGGCACAGCCACTAGGCACTTGGGGGATTGTGGCTCTGGATGCCTCTTGGAGGTGGCGGACTGGCCCATTCCCAGTGGGGGCTCCACCGCTGGCTGAGCAGTGTCCTGCTGGGTTCCCGGGCTCTTCCTGCACCCCTGTGTAGTCAATGTAATAACCCCAGGGGTCTGTGTACTCCGACCTGATGCTGCTTGTGTCGCTCTGCGATGGTGTGACTCCGCACAAGGAGTACACGTTGGGGGTGGTGGCGGAGGTCATGCTGCTGCCAGCGCTGACTGTGCTCTGGCTCCGGGAGCGGGACAGCCAGGGCTCCTCAAAGTCACTGCAGGGGCTCTGTGAGGCCGAGCTGCCACCCTTGCCAGGAAGGCTCAGCTGCAGCGACTGCTGGAGTGTGGCGATCAGGCTCTCGTTGAGCACCTGCCCGTTTGACTGGCCACTATTCTTGGGAATCCTGCGGAGAGAGTCCGTCCGAGAAGGAGGCAGGGGAGGCTTCTTGGCTTTCTTCAGAGAGATGTTTCTCGCAAGGGATTTACCATGGTAACCTGACTGGTCCCCTGGGCTTTTGTGAGCTCTTCCTTCAAAAACATTGACCACGCTGTGCCTGGGATTCCCAAAGCCACATCCGGAGTCATTGTGCACAGACTTGTAGCAGACAGTATGGTCCTCAGAATACAGGGACCCTGCATCCTCTTTGATGGATGCCTGGTCCAAACTGCAGCTGCTCTGGTTACTCGTGGGAGTGGAATAGCCAGGGACAGCCAGATGGGACTTCAAGGGGGATGTCCGCCCGCTGCTGGAAGCCCTGTAGTCCCACGGCTCCATGCTGCCCTGTCCTCTGCTCCCAGAAGAGCTGGACTCACTCTTGCCATCCACATCCTGGGGATGGACTGCAAAACTCAGGGTGTTTCTGCAGTTATAATGCATGGCTTGGGATCCATGAGGAGACACCTCTGAGTCACAGGTGGGCAGCAGTGTAGTGACACTGTGGGAATGGGAGTTGAAAGGCTGTGAATAGATGGAGGAATGGCCATCGCTCCAGTGGTGACAAGGGTGGTGGTCAGCTCTTACACTGTGTCTGGAGAGGAGGTGGTCTTTGGGTTTTATCCTCAAGCATGAGGACGAGCTGGTCATCCTGCCGTCCAGCTGTCCTGCACTTGGAGCGGTGTGAAGAATGATGACATCTGAAGACGATGAGAGGGTGGCGTTGGGGATGAGGCTGGTGGAGTAGGTGGCATGTGGAGAGACCATGCATGCTGGGCTGGTTACATTCTCACTCTCAAAGTGCCTCAGCTCCTGGGATTTGGGTCTGAAAAATGTTCCTGACCTCAAGGCACCTCCTACAGGTCCAAAGTTGTTGTCTCCTTGTGAGTTACCCCTCTGGTAGGAGAAGGAGCCGTCTACATCTTCTGTGGGGTCCAGTGTACCCAGGGAGTGTGCGCTGGCCCTGGCACCAGAACGTGGGAGACTATGGAAGCCAGCATCACTGTGGAGGCGGGAAGGGAACACGACACCAGCCGGGTCGCTCAGCACAGACATGTTGCCGGAGGAGCCCGAGAAGGGGCTCATTTGAGTGGCAATGCCCAGCCCCTTGTGGGCCCTGATTCTTCTCACGGAGGGTGGCACAACTCTCACATCCTCGGTCTGGCAACTGGAGTCCCTGGTTTCTGAGCGCTGTCCAGCACAGTGATAGCTATCAAGCCTTCCTCGCGTGGAGTAGTGGTCTGGGGAGTATCCTGAGTGACCACTGGCCTCATCCTGGCCAGTGCCCGATGCTGGAGAGAAAGCAGAAAGAAGCCTGTCATCCTGAAAATGGAAATCCACAGTGTCACCTGTGCCCTCAGCCCCTTTGGACTCTGCTATTGTGAAAAGAAACAAAAATATCTTTTCTACGTGGTTTAGTTTCGTCTTTCCCATACATACCTAACTGAATTTAAATAGCTCCTGATGTCTCCTAAGATAAAAACCTTTACTGTGTCAATTTTATGTACATTTCTTCTTAATTTAGACTTCAAATCCTCCTATGGCTTGAGTGCTGCATAGGCCTGTACAGGACTCACCTTTTACAAAACCAGCTTTTAGGGAAGACTTCAAGGTAGACTTCCACCCAAGCACAGAGCATCTATCAAGCAGGGCCACTTTTCCCAAAAACAATAAATGCAGCAATAGAACAACAGGACTGCAGAAATCCCTTCACGAGGGATACTGGTATAAAATTATGTTAATTATATTGATTTTTTTAATGGCAGAAGGAAATCCTAAGAAGAAAATTGATTTACAGGCCCATCTGTGTTTCAAACATTTCATTATCCATCTTAAGCCACTGTCATCTGTCTGTTCGTGACATTCGAAATTCACCAGCAAGCTGCTGTGTTCTGGAGTCGGGGAGACCATCAGGAAATGATCCAGGGAACACAGCCTCCAATGAGGCTTACACATTTGTTGGAATTTTACACCCAAACAGAGAGTAGTATGTTAATAAGAAAGAAACATGAAGAATGACAGAGAGAGAGAGAGAGAGAGAGAGAGAGAGAGAGAGAGAGAGAGAGAGAGAAATCTTAATCATAGATAAACGGATCTCAGGCTACCCAGAAAAGAATAAGGCTTGAAAACAAGACAAACAAACAAAATCACAAAGCCAAGAACATCCCCAAATGTACCGAGAACATGAAATCAGTCCTCGGGACAATTTAAACCTTTAAAAATAACAGCAGAAGCATGGTTCTCTATGAGATTTTCATCCAGTAAGACATCTCTATAGGGACAGTAGTCAAATATAGTTGTGTATCACCAACAAAATAATTCTGAGTCTAAAAGAAGAAACCTCATGATGTTCAGATTTTTTTCTGTGTAGGCTTATGCTTAAACAAAAGATTATAATTCTGTCTCCCTCATTTAAATAGAAGACAACAAATTATAAGGCATCAGATACCTTTGGAAATTAACAAAAAGAAAGGCTCTCAGGCACAGGCTTTGCTGAATGACATCGCCTGAGCCTCTAGATATCTGGATATGGTACTAGTAAGGATGAAGAGTCCTAAGATGTCCCTCTGTCCCCATTCCTCCACGTGGTACAAGTCCCTGACTGTGCATGTAAAGGCTTTTTCTCCCCATAATAGCAAGTGGTAGCAGCACGCTTATACGCGCCTCAAGGAAGCCACCCCACAAAGAACCCCCCCCAGCACCTTCCTTCACTGTAGTCAGGACAAGCACGATTACACTGTGTCGTCAGCAGAGGCTCTGTTTCCTCTCTCCATCCTCTCTCTGCCAAGGAGTTACCAAACACACGCGCACACACACACGCGCGGGACTCGCTTAGGAAGGGAAAGTGAGCAAAGAGGCAGGAGCAGGAGGAAGTCCACTTTGAGGCAGCACAGCAGGAGGAGAGAGTCGCTGCCGCTCGGCATCTGGAAACGAGAGGCGGGCTTGTACTGCGTCAGCTTCATGCCAAGCGCTCCAGGTGCCTCACCCTACTCACCCGTGGGCCTTTGTGTGTTTTTTCTTCAAAACTAGTGATTTCTGTACGGTTTTCATGGTAGATTTTTAACTGCCACCATTTAAGTGCCATGAGTAAAATCCTCATACTTTTGGGTAGTAACTTTTTTCTTTTTGTCCTGTTAGTCTTCCTTCATTTCTTCTTTTCAGGGCATGTTTGAAGCACATGGTTTTTACGTTCCTTGTAGGGAGCTGGTACATGTATTTTGAGTATCTACTTATTCTAGGCTTCTGATAATAGAAATATAGGAATTTCATGTATATCTGAACATACTTTATTTAAAATAACAATGTTTTCTTAAAGACCTTAAAAAAGTAAATGAGAATCAACTAACATGCAACTTATCAGAGGGACCAACAGAATTCAATTTCTAAAGCACAATCTTTAATACTGTCACAATATAAAAAGTGTCAGAATGTTACAGGACACTGATGAATGCTATAAGGAACAAACTAACCACAAGAAAAGGTCTATAAACACACATAGACCACTCAGCCCCTGCTGAAATCCTGATAAGATTTATGTGATTTTAGAACATAAGATGTAACTATGTATAATTTTTTACTTTATTAAAATAATGCTATAAGAGATTTCCAATTTCTAAAAAAAAAATCCATGTAATTGAGGATGATACAAACCTACAAGTTAGTTTTTCTTAGTTTATTACTGGGAATTGAACTTAAGACTTCAAGCAGGCTAATAATGTACTCTGGCTCATACCTGTAAACCCAGCACTTGGAAGGCTGAGGCAAGAAGCTTGCTTTGAGTTCAAGGCTAACATAGTAACCTATGTTAGTAAGTTCAAATCCAGCCTGAACTACATAATGAGACCCTGCCTCATAAATAAAGAAATAAATAAGTCTTGTACCTTCAGTAATGTTAATTTTAAATGATTCCAATAATATTTCTTTTTAAAATTTAAAAGAAAATGTATTGGTACATGTGTGTAGCATATGTTTACTTTCCTTGTGTGTAGTTGGCTCATGTACATAACACATCTCAATTCATAACGGGAGTCCTTTAAACAAGGTCCTGCTTTGGAAATATGTATGAAGTTGAGTTCAATAGCCAGCTCTAATCACATACAACAAAGTAATCCTGTCTGATCCTAAAAGACAAAATCTCACAGCTTGGAGTTCACACCCAGTTCCATGTAGTTTTAAAATTAAGGGGAAATGGAAAGTTTGTCCAATTCACTTAAATGGAAGATAACAAATTAGAAGTCAACAGATACGCTTTGAGCAAACATTAAATATCTTACCTTGACTTTAAAGCACTATATGCTAGCTGGTTTCCTGAGTCTACAATTCATGGATTTTGGGCTAACAAATGCATATAATTAAGCATAAGCCTTTCTAATGGCCAGAGTTTAAAATCTAATCCCCCGACAGTGTGGACGGTGTCTAGCAGACAGGGAGTGTCTTTCCTTTTCCCCTGACGTGTTTCCTTCAGAGAACCATTTCCCCTTTTGTCTAACCTAGGTGACTCGTTCATACTTCCCAGTGTGCTGTTTCCAGAGGAAGATTAATTGGAAAGGAAATACGAAGTGTCTACTGTTGGTAATTACTAGGTAGCACAGACCTCCAAACCAGACTCTCTCTAACCATAAAACGCAGAAAGAAACTGCAAGGTCAACCAGAAATCCTGAAGAATAGGACAAATACATAACCCAATACTTTTTGTTAAGTAAAACTGTATTTACATGTTACTTCCCTCATCCTAGCCAACAAATCTCAAACTATCCTATCTGTAAAAGCTGAGTCTTTGTTTATTTCTTTTTTCTTTTTAAACCTGCACTAATTTAGATACAGCTGTCTCAGTGAGCTCCCAGCTGCCATCCAGGGCATGTCATTAACTATGCAATGACACTGGCGCCTCGTGCCTGCCAGCGGTACCAACACAGATGACACAGGGAAAGCTAGTCTCTCTCCTCCTGCATCAGTGGTAGTACCATGTCACAGGCAAGAGAGAAACAAATGTGGGTTCCAGGGATGCAATCAGTGATTTAAAAAATATTAAAATTGCAGAAGATACGATTTCCTTTGCTGGACAGGTCATTTAAGTATGATGAAAAGAAAAATTGAATGATTGGCTCCACACTAATTGGCTCACTAATAAAAGTTCCTAAGTCTCAGGTTCTAGGCTTCAGGTTACTTATGTGCATGAACAAGTCATAAGTATGGGCTAAACTGGCCTTCCACTCTGCACAAACTCACGTAGAACTTACTTATCCTGTTTGCAAAGCCACTTAAAATGTAGCTTTCCTCAAAACTACCTTGTTTCCTTACAAGGCTTCTCATTTCTTGTCCTTATAATCACTGCTTTAGTGAAAGCACATCTTCTAAAGAGACCACATAGGGTATGAATGTTTCTAGTTACTGTAAGAAATTAGCCTGTTACATACCTTCTAGGCATGTGCAAACAGCCTCAGATTTGGTAGCTGTCACCTCAATAAGGAGGGAAAAATGAGATTCAGCCAGGTTTTGAGGAGAGGGGAAAGTGCGTGAGTTTAATGAGGTTACCAGAAGCCTCAGGCAGCCATAGGAGCAGCTTGTGGGCCCTAAATCAGAGCCAGACTTCATTCACACAAGCCCTGCCTTTCCTTCTAACCAACCGTTCTGCTACAGAAGAGGACCAGAACTGTCCTGCATCCAGGTCACAGGAGCTACCCAGGGCAGAGGCAAAGCACTGCTATTCTTCCTGGAATGCTGCTTCAGTCTAGAGAGAAAGCACAAAGTGGATAATGTAGGCAGGCATGGCAGGAAAAACAGAACTTCCCGGTAAAGAGGAGTCTGCTCTCCCTAATGCAGGACACTCAGGCTAAGGTGATGGGAAACAGGCAAAATGCTGCAGTACGAGAGGCTACAACACTACCGCAAGGTGCTATAATAGGCACTTCACTATTGTAGGATAAACCTGCTTTGCTTACTACAAGACTAGTAAGCAATTCAGGAATACAGTAATGACTATGAGTTTCTGGGGTGAAATCTTTAATAATAAAGATAGGTAAATAACACCAGGTAGAAGTAATTATTGGGAAATAAGTCCACAGGCTGGCAAAAGAGGAAGAGACATATGTCAAAGCAGGTAGCATTATGTTCCCTGCAATAATGACAACTGTAACTAATTACATGTGTGATGATACCGGGTACTAAGACATCACGGGCACAAATTCATTTAGTCTCAGAGGACCCTAGGTTCCACTACCATCACCGTCCCGTTTGTGGAATGAAGAAGCAACCTGCCTAAGTCACCCGTAAAAACTGAGCTATGCTGCCCAAGAAACAGGGAGAGGAAGGTTTTGCAGAGTAAAGTGAACGAGTTACCCAAAGCACACAGAAACACAGCAAGACCATGATGGTTGACAAATAGTAAGTTAAGAACTTCTTTACCAGTCCCAATATTTTATTTTTTTTATGTTTTGATCACAGATTAAAAATGACTGAAGAAAAAAGGCATGAAATTGTTCCACTGACAATAATGATGTTATCTGACATAAGTGATCGTTTTCTATCATATTGGCATTTACCAATAATCCCAGGCTGTGGCCTCCTGACAGAAGGCCTCCAGTATTGTCAGTGTAACTATGGAGATCCTCACGCATAAGGGGGAGTCCTAGAATAAGGCTTTAGCTCATGAGAAGCTGAGATCTAAATGAAAACTAAATTTAATTGTGGAAATAATCAATGTTCAAGGTGCCTAGAGGTGACAGAACATTCAATTTTTATCACCCCAGTTAAGTTTTCACATAGGTGTTTCTCCTCCAGTCTCCCCAAAACACAGTCAGTCACCTGCCTGAGATGCAGGATTTGCACCTCACACTCCGCCAGGCAAGCAGCTGGCCATGAGACTGCATGGATTTTCCAAGCACCACACGAGGCTAGCAAAGTGACCGAGCAGCAGGGAGGGGCGGAAACGCAGTTCTGAAGAGCATACCTAGCTCCTTCTGAATGCTGTCAGGGACTCCTGTAATAGTCTTTCGCCTTTTGACTTTCTTCGGTCGTCTTACCAGAGTGTCTGTGTAAATTAGAGACCGCCGAAGGCTGGCCTGGCGATCGAAATTCTCCCCTAATGCAGAGCAGTGGAACAAGCAAAGCAATGTTATTTTCAAGCGAGCTGACACCATGCACTTTCTTCCAGAAGCTCGTTGTAACATGATAAGAGGTATTAATAATGATGTTAGCAGTCACATGACGACAAATGCTGAAGGGCGCGAAAGGGCGGAATGCACGTTATCATCAGAAGGCAGCTCTCCAATTTCTGGGTGTGTGTCCTTCCAAAGGACATACCTTGATCTCATTTTCTTACAAGCCAGAAGAACAAATAGGAATTTGTTATTAACACACCAGAAGAGTGGTTCTTTTATTTTAAAAATGCAGCACTCTGCAAGTGTTTCGCATAGGTCTTACTCACCAAAACCACTCTTGACATTACCATGTCTGTGGTGATGGTGACAAGTACGTTTTGTTCACCTGGTCACCCCACAGGGACCGATCTTATATCTGCTCTTGTAATGAAACAAATAATTTCATCAAAATCCAGAGCTTTCTCTTCAACCAAGAAAGCTGCCAATTTGTATAGACTGGGAATCGTTACAGTGTGAGACCCAATTGTACTGAAAAGCCTTCTAATGACAAAGCACTTTGGTCACGATGAGAACCGTAGCACTGCTCCTGTCAAAGCTGAACTGCTTCTGTTTCACGACCACCATTTAACATTCCTATTAACTCAGTCATTTCAAATGATGCTGCCCTCAACTCCAGAGCCCACACCCCTGGGACTTCTTTTCTTTCCTTAAGTATAAGTCTGTGGGATTAAGACACCATGGGGAACCATAAAATAATAGTTTGTAGCAGTACAAGTTACTGACTGATCTGTCTTAAATTATTCACTAGTTTGATTAAGGAAGTATTATAGCATTGACTGCTTTCTGTGGTTATTCTCCCCGAAAGGAGAATCATATGTACAGAAAATCATAAATACAGAAAATCACATATTTCTGTCACTTCTATGCACAAGGAAAATATAAAATAGTCACTCTTTTAGCAATATTGACACACATTCATAATGCTCTGTTGTGGCCAATGTAGCTTCCATTTCGACAGTGGTCATTCTGAATCTTACCTAACTAAAATAGGAGAAATAGATCTCAATGATCCAAACACATTTCTCCTATGAGGAACAGTATCAAATAAATGCTTGCAACCTTGCAAATTCTGGCCACTTTGTCTAAATGGACAATAATAGAAATACTTGAGAGAAGAGCCTGACACACCATAAGGTCCTAGTGCTGTGATAAATGGGTCACTTATGTGCAATGGCATACACTAGACTTAACAGGGGCAAGCATGGCTTCACTGGTTCATCAGTTTCCTGCAGCAGCAGCAGAAAAAAAAAAAAATCCCTGTCAAGACATTGAGAATGGACAATACATTAGCAGAAAGTTGCATTTAGTCTCCAGTTTTGTTTCTGTAACAAAACCAAAAAATAAATCCACCCAAGTTCCCAGGAAATGAAGAAACAAACCATATGAGGATGAACATCAACAATGTTTGCCATTAAAAGCATTGAACTCTCTACTTTACATGCTGATCTAAAAGGACTATCTCAGCTAGACATGGTGGCGTACACCTGTAACCCCAGCACTTGGGAGGCTGGAACAGGAGGGACACCGTGAGTTACAGGTTAGCGTAGACTACATAGTGAGTTCAAGCCTGAACTGCACAGCAAGAGCCTGTCTCAAAAAGCAAGCAAGCAAACAAACAAACAAACATAAGAAATAAAAAGACTACCTCACCTGCTGGACTATACACTTTAGGGTAAAGACAATGAGTCATGTTCCTTAGGATTTTCTATGGCACTCACCTAATACCTTGTACAAAGTAGTTACTCAGTAAACATCTGTTGAATTGAATCAGTCTTTCACTGCAAAATGGCACTAGTCAGTCATGGTTACCACTCAGAAACAAGGCAGCTCAAACTCTAACTGGCTTGTAGAAACTGTGTTTAATCACTCTGCTCATCTTCTAGGTGGGAGAGCTGTTATGCCACTGGACAGGTTATACGACATATTCATATGCACTTCTTTTTTTTTTTTTGGTGCCCGGGATCGAACTCACAACCTTGTGCTTGCCAGCTTGCCAGTCAGGTGCTTATGCAGCTGAGCTAAATCACCGGCCTTGTACTTCTTCTTTTAACCTTGCTTTCTCTTTAACTTTTAGAACATGTCAAGTGCTCATGTTAGTCCTTACAACTGGAGGGGTTAAATTCATTTTCTAGCCAACAGCTCACTGCAGTGACTTTCTAGGCCTCTAGGCCTGGTGGGTCGCACTCTGCATTTCAAACCATGTAGTTACGGGCAACTTTTTCTCCCTGATGAAAATTATTAATAATAAGACCAGATGGTAAAGCTATCAAGCACATGACAATTTCCTACTAGAAGCTACATTTTTATCTCAAAAATCTTTAGAGATACATAAAGAACAGGAAAGTGTATAACCTGTATCAGTTCAACTGTCAAAAGGGAAAATTTTTAATTTTATTGCTTCTTTACACCGGTTAAGAAAAACTAATCATTTATGAAATATGTGTGTATAAACACACGGATCCACACAATAGAGTAATACGTATGCTATTCAATATATTTAATTTTGACATTTCTACAAAATGTTAATCACTTAATTAAAACAAAACTACATTTCGACACAACTCTCTGCTCATTTTTTTTTTTGCCAGCTACCTCCCCTGGGTGACATTTAAATACGATGTAATTCATGTCCATTTAGTCACCAAACTGGAGAGAATTACAACTCAAAAGATATGATGTTGTCTTCTATTGTTTTTTTAATTTTAAATTTTCATTTTTCATTGCAATGATGTATCTCACTTTAAATAGTTCTGTACTCTTGAAATGCTAGTTACTCTATTTAAAGTCTCCTAATCACAAGATAATGTGCTTCACCATAAGTCCATTAGAGATGATCATATTTCATAGCACAATAGTCTTATCTCATTATTTCTGAGGCATTTAATCATATATAATGTAATTATACTTCTGCTGCATTTAATCGATCAAATAATGTAATTGACTCTTACAGAAAACATAAGCCTGTGCATTTCATCAAGCAATAAATGCTACCCTACATATTAAAACCTATCTACTTATAAAAATAATCTTTAAAAAAATATGAGCTAGGTGAAGGAAAAACACTTTCATGAAGAATCACTGTGCTATTTACAAAAACCATGGATTAAAATGCCACATTATTTCTTTAAGGTTTAAGTAAAATAAATGTAAATGAAATAGAAAAACTCATATATTTATTTATTAACTTTACACAGAATTCAAAGAGTTTTAGATATAATTTCCAAATATCCTGTTAAGGTTTTTGAAAAATCTTTGCGGTATCATTAGCCTTTCCCAGCCAACAAGGACCTGGTAGAAAGCCTTTTGTACAGCAGGAGCCTCAAAAGATAGAAAGGATGCTATGGGGCTGCATTTCAAGTGCTAAACAAATCATTTTTGATCACCCAATTTGACTGATTACCAACGATGAGTACTGGTCATCTCTCTCTCTTTTTTTTTTTTTATCTTTTTCATTTTTATCAGTACCGGGGATCGAACTCACGACCACCTGCTTGCAAGGCAGGTGCTTATGCCACTGAGCTAAATCCCCAGCCCCTGATCATCTCTTTACACAGAACACAGTCAACTGGTTCAAACTATTAATTCACTTACTGTTTGTTTTGGTACTGCAGACTGACACCTGGGGCCATGCGTATGATAAGCATATTCTAGCCTCTATTATCTTGTCTAACTTACTCGTCCTCATGAACTCTGCATACCTGTCTTGCCCTTTGTACATTCCCCAAACCACTGGCCAATTTCTCTGTGTAGGCTAAAGCTAAAAAAGTGATAAAATAGGCAATTTTGAGTATCTTTTAATAGTTGGTTTTTGTTTTGTTTTGTTTGAGATGGAGCCTGACTGTAATTCAGGCTGTCCTTGAACTCACTATGTAACCTAGGCTGACCTCGAACTTGCAGCAATCCTCTTGCCTCAGCTTCCTGAGTGCTGGGGTTATAGGCCACCATACCCGGCAATAGCTCTTCTGAGTCTGTAAACAATCAACTTTGAATTTTATATACCTTGGTGTTTGTCACCTTAATTATCACAAATGCTTAAAGGCTGAGTATAAAGTTCCATAATTTCAAATTTGATAATGTTGAAATGCACTCCAACTTAAGGTAACATATTCTGGAATTATTATGTGTAAGATAAATTTTTATTCGAACGCTGTGGAAGTAAAATTATAGAAATCAAAATATAAAACAACCACCTTATCAAGATTTTTAAAAAATATTTTCATAGTTATTCATCCTCTTGATATTTTTATTTCAGAAGAAATTTTCCTTTTTTCTACTTGTGAAAACAAGAAGGTAAGAAAATGTGTCAGAAACATGACAAAAGCAATTATTTCTTCACTTCTATAAACATTACTTAAAGTAAACCTTTTTGAAGGCAATATATAGTTTTTTGTTACCCAGGATCATATTTAAAAAATATTTAAAAAATGTATAACCAAAATCCAATTAAAAAGTAATTCAGTTTTTTAAAAAAGTACACTTTAAATGCATGTTTGAACCATCAAGTTCCTTGATACCAATCTTCGGTGACAACAGTCTTCTGACCCAGGAAAGCAACAGAGACCCGCACATCCGTACATGCAGGTGTGCGTTCCCTTCATGAGACGCAGAGTGGGATCAGGAGCAGAGCTCCTTCCTTGGAGGCAGAAACTCGAGGCTAACAGCACCCACACAGCAACCCAAAAGCCCAGCCCTGCTCCCGAGGTGCACCTGCCCCCCGAGCATACCAGTGATGTTAATAGGAACCACGTCAGCCTGGACTGTCTGTGCCTGCTGTCGCATCTTCTCTTCTGGTGTTGGCAGGGGCAGTGACTTGGTCCAGTTTGTCTGAGTGTTAAGGTCTGAAAAGTCACCTGAGTTTGGAGTTTTTGGTCTCCTGACGCCAGGAAGTTTTTCATCCTCTGATGAAGAAACAGAACACTGCAAAGGAAAAAGAAGTTACCACGTGTAAACAGCTGGCAGAAGCATTTAAAACTCTGTTTTATTTTTACAGTGAGACTGTTTTCAAGGAAGCCAAAGAATTGGTCACATTTAAGAAGAGACGCAGTGCTTTGGGAGAAAACTGCTTATTTTCGTGAGCATGACCCATACGTAATGCACATGACTCCTCCAGGTCTCAGTCTATAAATCGCGAGGACTGCACAAGGTCTTGCTGACCCGCAAAATCTTTTACATTCTTCCAATTTTTCCTATCTTTGCTATGGTCAGAAAGCTTACAGATGTAGTCTAAGCTAGAGGAACATAGCTGTGGTCATCACTTTCCATTTTCATTAAAATTTAGTTTTCCTCAAAGTAATTTCTGGCTTAATCTTATTTTCTTTAGGTTCTGACCTCAAGGAACATTTCAAAAATAATTGAGCTATTGTTGTTCAACTATATGTGCTCTTCTGAAACAACCTATATGGGGGAAGAAATCAGTGCGAAATTATTAAATTATAAGAAGTGGATGAAAGCTCTGTTCTGGGCATTACCCGAATTTCATGAAAACATTTCTAGCAGTGCCCGTTTTGACACAGATTAATATCCTAACTGACTGAACAGGGCTTCTTCCCTACCTTTCTCCCCATAACACCTCAAAAACTGTAAGCACTAAAATTGCGTAGGCAAGCATTTTATGAAGGACTTCACCAAAGTAGCTGAATCTGTGATGAGGAAACACCAAGAACTCAAAATAAATGCAACATGCTTAGGAACAACCAAAAAGGGTTAATGAGTTTTGCTGGGGAGATAAAGCTCGTGATCTATAATAAATACGTAAGAATTACTCTTCAAGTCTACAGCATTGAAACTGAACTGCCACTCATGAAAGTAAGACGTTTAAGAATTTTATTGAAGAACACAGTCAGTAAATCTTCCCAAAGAGAACCTCAGTATAACCAGCAACCAGATCTGGGTAACCCCTTCCCAGCCGGTCACCCCCAAACAAGGGTAACTGCCACTGAGACTTCTAATACCATAGCTTCATTTTGCCGGCATTTGAACTTGCTATGAAGGAAATCATTCTGTCCGTTCTCTTCGACTTACTTGTGCTTGTGAGGCGTTATCTGTCTTTAAAAGACATTACACAGTGGTATCGTGGTGCATAAGCACTTTTGTCTGCAAATAGCATTTGGCAAAATTTTGCCTTTGTTCACAAACTGTATTGGGTGAGAACAGTGACCATGCTCATCCTTTCCAAGATGGTGAACCGAGGTATCACTGTACTGTGCAGCCTTTCTGGGCCTAAGGCAAGTTACTAAGAGGGCACATAGAAAAAAATGTACAAAATGCAGCTGTTGTCCAGCCAAACATAAGAACGCTAGAACACTGTTGACTGCTACTAAATTTGTCTTGCCGGAAAATATCTGTATTTATTCTCCAATTGCTCTACAAATCTCAAAAAGAACACAAACTTTAACAAACACAAATAAACAACTATAGGGATGAGCTCCCAGACTAAGAATCCAGAGACGGAATCTTCTAAAACCTTGATGTTTATTTTGCTGTGAAACTTGGGCTGCTATCCTGCCCACTTTCTGAACCCATGAAAGTACTGTTAGGCCTTCGTGGCAGTGTTGATTAGGCATTGGGGGTATGAAAGTGGTAGTCATATAAATATAAATATATAGGTATACTGGTATACTGATAATAACATTAGTAAACAAAATGATTATCTAGTTTTCTCGCCTAGGGGACATCTGAAATGATGGACAAAATGGGCAAAAATATACTTTACTTACAAACTAAACATATGGCGCGGACAACTTATTGTAACTAAATTCCACTCTGTTCATTCATAGTTGATCTGATCTGGATAAACGGTTACAACTCACACAGCTCCTTGTAAGGCAATCAAAGGGATTTCGGAGGCAGCAGTAGCTAAGCCATACTGATGTAAACTGATTAAGTCCAGCTTCTCTGCAGCTACGAAACCATTGTTAAATTTGATTCATGATACATATTCTCTATTCATAAGGTATGCACACAAATTAAAATTAATTTCATTTAAGAATTTCATGGCAATTTGTACAGAAGTCATCCGTCTGAAGCTGAATCTTAATCTAGTAAATTAGAAAGATTACTCTTTTGCAGAAATACACACACAAATAATTTTTCAAGCAACCTTACATTATAGAGTAAAAACTGAAGGCAATCAGAAGCAATCCTAATGAGAAGGTTTAAAAGGAGGAAAAGGGAAGCTCCAGGCTGACCCAGAACACAGCAGCGACCCCTGCAGTGAGGGCTCCTTTTCCTGGGATGTCCTCCTCCTTGCCAAGGGCGCCACAGGAAGCCTGCTCTAGGTCTCAAAAGCATTGTGATGCTGCTCCCTGCCCCACTGACCTACTTTCCTTTTAGTTGGCTGATAATGTAGCATCAATAACTTTCACAATGAACAGCACTTCCTTGTAGTCCTGGTTGCCATGGGACGAACACCAGGGATTGCTACTGCATGACAACAGACAAAGAAAATCCTTTACAGAGTTTGCTTCTCTGGCAAGAAAATTCCACAGCGAATTGGGGCTCCAGGAGAGCTATAGGCAGATGTGACTGGGAACAGTACCACAATCCACTACAGGAAAAGCCAGGGTGGAGGATGCTCAGCACCACACGACTGCCATTCCTCCTGCCATCGGAGAACCTGCCGCAGCTGGATGGCTGACATCACAATTCCTAAAGATTTGCTATTCTGCAGTCCAGATCTTGAGTGACCACCAATGGTGGGTGTGTTGGAGGTTTGCTCCCCTGCTTGGTGGAGCCCTTAGGGGAAAGGGCCGGGTAGGATGTTTCTAGTGGACAGTGGAGGACAGTTCCCCTCAAAGGGAGAATGGGACCCTGTCCCCCTTCCTCCTCTGTGCTCTGACCTGGCCAGGCCACCAGGTGGGTGTTCTTGCTACAGCACTAGCTTCCACCAAGATGTGTTGTCCAGCCACAGGGCCAAAAAACATGGAGCCAAAAGACCATGGACTGAACCCCCACCAATGTGATCCAAAGGAAATCTTTTCTGTTTGTATGTTGATTCTCTCTGGTAATTGTTTCAGAGACAGAAAGCTAACACAATATGAGCACCCTCTGGATTCCTGCACTGGCTTCTTCACTGGTCTGCCTGCTTCTGCCATGGCTGGCACCCGTGCCCTGGCCCCTCTCTTCTCAATACAGCACAAAGAGAACTTTTACAATGCACCTCAGGTTATGTTGCTCCTCTGCCCACCACTGCCACCTCCCAAGTCCCTACTCTGATCTGCAAGCCCCCATGTGATCCACCACATCACCCTCCAGGTTGTCCTCTGTACACTCAGGGCTGCTTCTGCCTTGAGGCCATGGTGCTTGCTGTCTCCTCCTTCCTTCTTTATCTCCAGAATTTACTCAATGGTCCTTTTAATTTTAAACAAGGAAAAACCCACTTCAACTTATCCCCAGGAAATTAAATCCTCCTTTCCTGCTTTTTTCCTCCTCTTTAGAATCAGTAGTTTGTGGTTTGTGTCTAGGTGCCTCCACCTTCGAGGCCTCATGTGGCCATAGGTGGGGCTTTTCAGAGGTAGCAGAATCTGGAGGGAGTGGTGCAGGATTAAGGGTGTATGATTACCAAATTAGTTCACTGGCTTGGCATAGTTCTGGGAAGGATTAAGGTTGCTACCTGCCCTAAAGACAATAGCTGGACACCATAGAAAGGGACAGAAAGAATGTGTCGCTTGTCACTTGGTGTGTGATACCTTCTGCCTGCAAGAACTGTTTCTCCTCTGCAGGGCTCCTCTGCCATGCCACCTTCCTTGGAGTCAGTCAACTATGGACTGAACCTCTACAAACTGTGAGCCAAATAGCTTCTCTTCTTTAACTTTGGGTATCAGGTGTTTTGTCTAGACAACAAGAAAAGTAACTAGACAAGCAGTATACGTACATTTTATTTATCTGTCCTCCAAGAAACTATGTAAATACCATCAGAAGCTTTATTTAGAATTGCACAGAAAGCTACTTCAGAATTTTATCTTCAGAAAGGTCACCATTTAGTAGCCAATTGCTGTGTGCCTTGTCCTGGATTGTAAGCTTCACAGCGATGATCTCCTTTAATCCTCACAGAGTTGACCTTGTTTCAAAAAAGGAAATGAAGGCTCAGAAGAGCAAAGTAACTTTAATTTTACTTTTGGAAAGTTCTTAAGTGGGAAGCTATAACTAGAACCCAGCGGTGACCCCAAAATCTCTGCTATGTAACCATATAAAACGACCACTTGCCAAAGTTTATAATAAATGACTAGGTCCTCTGACCTAAAAGTAAAATTGTTTATATCTCTAAATAAGAACCAAACCTTTAAAAACCTATAAAAAGCAGCAGTGCGATGTTGCAGATGGAATAGAGTCGTAGCCTCAATATCCTGGGCCTGTCATTTACCAGCTGTGTGATTTGAGCAATTTGATCTCCCTGAGTACGAACAGAATGACCCAAACAGTGCTGAGGTGCTTCTGCCAGTCCTTAGCCTGAGACTCGCTTTTCTTCCTCCTTCTTAAATATTGGGTTTGATGGCCTTGCACTCAGAATTTAAATGCAGTTTTTATATCAGCCTCTTGGTCAATAATATTCAGCAGGGCTCCACGCCCTGGTCCAAGAAAGAATGGAGAGCGACAGTGGACTTCCTGTAACACTGCTGCATTCTCAGGACATCACCAGGAGCATGGGAAGCCATTCTGTGGCTTTTGGATTTGCAGTTGAGATTCTACCAGGTCCTGCCTAGAAATCAGACAAGCTCTAGCCAGATGGCCAATAAGGTCTAAAATGTGGTTTCTCTGGTAGAACAACCAAGAGACCTCCAAGTGGGCCTATTTTCCTCCTCCTCCTCCTCCTCCTCCTCCTCCTCCTCCTCCTCCTCTTCCTTTTCTTCTTCTCCTTCTTGCTTTGCTTTTAAAAGCTAGAAAACTGAAATATAATCAGAGCTAAACTCAGCACCTAG